AAGCCCCTATTAAGAGTAATAATTAATTACAATAGGAAAGAATTATTCTTCTTCCAAGGTGGAAGAAATTTAATGCAAATAAATTGCTCCCAAGTGACTGGTTAACCTCTTCAAGGAGTAGTACCAAATCATTGGTCTCTGCTGCCAACCAATTGGGTATTCAGCAGTAGTTGAATCCTAGCTCATCTAGCTCATCACTAGATGAGTTTTAGTGAGGAAGCCCAAGCTGTTGGTCCCAATCATAGCTTGCATCTCTGCCACCACGATTACTCCATTTGTGGGCTCGTTGTGTAACCTGGGGCAATCAAGGACAAGGCTGGTTGACATGTACTGGAGAAACCATCCTATCCACCTAATTTTTCCTCCTAAGTGTTTCTGGTAGAAAATCTACAAAAATCTCCACACTTGGGCACATTCCCATAGTTTTGTGCACATTCTTTATCTCTAAATCTCACTTTCTCTAATCTTCCAATATTGTTCCTTCCTCGTCCCTGACCAGCCAAGCCAGTTACCAAGATCAAAAGTGTATAGCACTTAATTCAGTCCACGTGCTTTTTCAGCAACATCATGACAAAGTGTACTGTTTGAAGTTCTGTCCATCAGGAAGTTTATTTTCCCTACCACTAATTGTTAGAGCCGCCTCTGTTAGAGGCAGTAGTGTGGCCACCTGGCCACCAGTCATTTTTGCCCACATCAATATATCAATCTTGACCATGCGTCAACAAGGTCCACTCTTTCCTGTCAGCTGGTGTGATACTATTGGCAAAAGTAGCTTCAATTGTTCACTTCTCCCTATTCCATGCCTTTTGCCAGTTTGCATTGCCCTCCCGCTCTGAGTAGAGAATTTGGCCTCAACTTTTTATTCTGAACTTAGCCAATGGAATATTAACAAATGTGATCCAAGCACAGGCTTGACAAATACTTGGTTGGTTGGTCTTGCCTTCTCTTGTGGCTCTGTTATTGACATAAGAACATGACTTGGATAGTCTGATGAGGATGAAAGATGCATGGAGCAGATGAGTTGTTCCATTCACATATCAGCCAGCCCAAGACATGAGCAAGACCAGCCAAGATCAGAAAACCTACCTAGCCAATTCCCAGCTGGCTGTGGATGTGTGAATAGTAAATGCTCACTGTTGATTATCATAAAGTTTTTTGTTGTTCTTGGTTGTTACCACGTAATTGTAGTGATAAATAACTGACACAGTTGACAACTGAAGATGCCCCATGAGATCACACAAGTATGTTGAAGATAAGGCATTGGTGTAGAGATGTAAATGAGATGGGCGGTAAATGATAGGTCACTTGTCCGTGTAACTTACATGTGCTGTATCGACTTTTTCAGGCTTCATCCCAGATGTATAATTCCATTAAATAATGGATTGCTACTGTGACTACTTGACTTTATGATTTGGTATATCTGATAACACCCAGCTTATGATGGGTAGCTCAGTTCATTACTTGATACCATATATGGTCAGATTCTGTTTTTTTTTTCTTTGTTTTTTTTCTAAAAAGAAGAAAGGAAAAAACAGATTCTCACCTTCTACTGGGCACACGCTAGGTATTGCTGTTCAAACAATGAGAAGGCAAGACCTTCGCTCCAGAAGCAGGGGTTCTGTTCTATTCATCTTGTTAGGGCTGGCTAGACATACTGTACAATCTTCATATCTACTATAGACATCTCTATCATCAATCGGTAATCTGAGCCATATAGTTCAGGAAGGAGGGCAGCTTGTATCACAGCCTGAGCTGGCAGCAGAGCCCTCTCTTGTTCTGGGCCCCACATAAAACTTGTAGTCTTCCAATTCAGAGCTGTATTCCTGAGAAAGTATATGAAGCTTTCAAAAGCAGAAGTCCCCAACATGCTATGTCTCTTTCTTACTGGTAAAGGGTAAAAGTTCACTAATTTGTCATTTACCTTGGAGGGGATGTCCCAGCACCTTCCAGACTATTGAACTTCTAAAAGCTGTGGGGATCTGAATCTTCCGTCCTCTGGCTTGTGTGCATCTTATTGAACACTAAGAGTTCTTTCTGCTGTTTCCCAGATACATGCAGCCTAATATTATCAATATAGAGGATCAACACAAGGTTCTCTGTAATGTGAGAATAAACAAGATCCCTGAAGACTACACTGTGGGCCAGGCCTGGTGGCTCATGCCTGTAATCACAGCACTTTGGTAGGCTGAAGCAGGTGGATCACCAGAGGTTAAGAGTTTGAGACCATCTGGCCAACATGGTGAAATTCTGTCTCTCCTATAAATACAAAAATTAGCCAGACATGGTGGTACGCACCTGTAGTCCCAGCTACTCAGGAGGCTGAGCCAGGAGAATCACTTGAACTTGGGAGGCGGAGGTTGCAGTGAGTCAAGATGGTGCCATTGCACTCCAGCCTGGGCGACAGAGACTCTTTCTCAAAAGAAAAAGACTATACTACATTGTGAGAGAGAAGACAGCTAACGTATTTCTGGGGCAATCAAATTAATACATATTTCTATCATTTTCATATAAATATAAACACTTTTGATGTTCCTAATGATTGGAAAAATGTTTGTCAGAACAGTAGCCACATATCATGCAGAGGCTATGTTGATATGTTCCAGGAAAGCTACCATACTTGACATGGTAGACACAATTGGTACTACTACTTGATTAAGTTTATAATATTCCCTTGTCTTCCACCATGGCAGGTACCATACACGTAAATGCAGAGGATGCTACCTCTGCATCCTCTAAGTCTTTGGAAGTGGTACTCATCTCAGAAATTCCACTCAGAATGCAATATTGTTTCTGGTTTGCTATCTTGGCTGGGTAAGGAAGGTGCAATTTTAGGGAATTTTCACTAGCTCTTCCATACCACAGTGGATGTTTTTCCATAGGTCAGGAAGCTAATGAGAAGGTATTAAGAATATTTAGCCCAGGTATGCACTAGATACCAGGGAAACAATCAAAGTAACCCCACTGGAGCAATTGAAAATACTGTGAAATGAACTGGAGGAAAAACTCCATCTATTACCTGGTATCCACAGCCTCCACTCTCTTTGGGGGGCAATGAGGATATTTTAGATCACCTCATATCAGGTCAACTAAGCCTTGTATACAACAACCTTTGAGAAGATTGAGTATTCCACTTGTTTCACTTTGCTAAGTGGTTTAAAGTCCTTTGGAGAAAGATTGAGTGAATGTTTACCATATGTACTCCTGGTGACAGAGGTAGCATTTACTTCAGGATTGCTGTCACTTTGTTGCAGATGGTTGAATGCCACTACCTGCCTCCTGCCATTATGGAATTCTTTCATCTCAGTTAGTACTAAAGAGCCCAATTCTATGCCATCATATCCTACTGTGAATCCTGGCCTATAGGGTACAGTTTCTGATTATTTTATCGAAGATATTGTTGTCACCCTCAGTGACATCCTTTATTATCTTAGTCAAGAGAGTATTCTCTGGTCCCTTCCTAGGTAAATGGTACATTTGTTCTCTTCTTCTCACATTAAATAAATGCATTCAAATATCCACCTCTCTCTGACCTCTTCTTCAACACTTTGATGAGGCATTTCCACCATTCCTGCCTCATTTAGTGTAGACCATTATGACCAAGTCTCAAGAAGCCATGTCAACAGCCTGTTAAGACCAGCTCATGTGTCCTAAAGATGACACACTATATCTTGAGTCATCCTAAAGATGAGATACTATATCTTGAGCCATAAGAGAGTGCTCCTGTGTCAGTAAACTCTCCTCTATTCCAGCCTTATATTCTGCCTCTCTGGTCCAGCCCACTCAAGACCTATCTCCACTTATACTCTCCAACTTACTGCCAGTACTTCTTAGCTAGTACCTAAAATTCTTTCAGTAAATAAGCTATTTCTTCCCAGTCCAAGGACTGTATTTTTCCTCTCAGTTAAATCTGAGATTAATCTAAAAGCAGTTGGGGAAGTCAGAGTCAGATCTTGAGACAGGAGTCATTTTACAAGGCATCCATCTCAGACAAACACTTCACATGGTCTCCAGGTAAGGGGAGGTTGCTCTCCTCTAGGGTGGGAGAAACAGCTGCTTTGGCTGGCATGGAGGGTTCAGAGGAAATCTGAGACTCAAGCTTCTCAAGCACATGCACTCAAATTGTCTCATCTCAGGTCTCAGAGTCCTACTCCTTTGACATGAGAGCCCTGACTTAGCAAAGGAGACTTGTTGAGGTGGCATCTTTTATCTCTTTGCCACTCTGCCATCCTTACAGTTACACTCTGTGCCTGGCTTTTAGCATAGCTTCCCTATGGCTGAAGGGATAATAGCCTTTTTAAACACTGCCAAGGAGGACTTTTGGCTTTCACAGCATGCCCTAAATTGATAATTGGCTGATCTGGGCCTGCCAGCGTTTTTTTTTTTTTTTTCAAAGTTTCCAAGGCAGTGGACAAATGTGAGCCAGTTCCACAATCCTTTGCCTCCATCCATTGTAGTGACAGAGTCACCAGATAACCAATTTCTTCTCATCCCAATCCACCACAGGTAAGATTCATAGGAATTAGGATGCACACCAGGGGTTAGCACCATCCTACTTGTCCCAGCAATAAGGGTAAGTGATCCAGTCCCAGAATCCCATCCTAAGATTTGTCCTCTAGGGTCACACCTCATATCAAAAGTTTTATATTCCTCCTAAAGCAGAACCTGGGACAAACACTTGGGTGCAAGGAGTTTGGTAATCCCAGGAAGCAAAAGTGAGAGAGCAGGAAGAATGAGAAGAAAGCCCAATAAAATGCATATTACTGTGATTGTCATTATGGGTATGTGGGATTTGATTGCAGGACTAGCAGCTCCTTAGAAATGAGCAATGCTTTTAGAATTGTCCATTGGAAGGACTGGAGACTGGAGAATTTGTCCACTAACCTAGACCAACTGATGGGGGGCATTACTCCTCTATATTAATGGGATTACCCACACAGAGCTATCAAGGAAAAGAGTCACACTCTATAAAATATTTGAAGAGATTTATTATGAACCAAATATAAGTGACCACTGGCCTGTGACACAGACTTCAGGAGGTTCTGAGACCATGTGCCCATCGTGATTGGGCCACAACTTAGTTTTATACATTTTAGGGAGACAAAACACATCAATCAATACATGTAAGATGTGCATTTTTTCAGTCTGGAAAGGAAGGACAACTGGAAGCAGGGGCTTCTAAGTCACAGGTGGATTCTAAGATTTTCTGATTGGCAGTTGGTTGAAAGAGTTCTTATCCAAAGACCTGGAATGAATAGAAAGGAATGTCTGAGTTATGATAAGGGGTTGTGAAGACCAAAGTTTTATCATGCAGATGAAGCCTCCAGGTAGCAGACTTCACAGAGACTAGAACATAAATATTCTTATCAGACTTAAAGGTCTGATCTATCAGTAATTCCAAAAGGGAGAAGGGCATGTATGGCTTCCCATTCCTATCTTTGCCTAAACTAGTTTTTCAGATTAATTTTGGAATGCCCTTGACGGAGAGGAGGTGTCCATTCAGATGGGTGAGGGACCTTGGAATTTTATTATTGGTTTACATAGGCCTAGGGTGCTCCCATGACCTTGGAAAGGATACAAGATCAGAAAGTGGAGAAATGGAGAAGTCATTTAAGGTTGGTTGCGGTCACCAAAAAGTGAGTCTAAAATTGAATGGAGCTCCCCACTACAGCTGTGGCTGAAATCCAAGGTGGGTCTGGGGATGTATTTCAGAATATCACCATAAGCATCAGCTACAGACAGTGCTGCTTCCAAAACACCAAAAGGACGTGAGCTTACCTTTATTTAAAATGCACACTTTTCTTGTTGGCTAGAAAGACAAGTTGGATAGTAAGCCACATTTAAGATTTCCAGAACTTTTTCATTAGAAATTTTAATTTTAAAAATATTCCAAGAATGAGCAAAAGATAAACAATGACTAAATCTGTATCTTTATAGTCTGCTGTAATTATAATACAATTTTTAAATGTTTCCTTTTACACATACCTCACAGTGTTTTTCTGTGAAACTTTTATATCTGAACCAGAGCATGGCTCCTGTTAAAGAATAAATTGTGTCCATGTGCTCTTGAAGACTGTCCAGACAGCATAATGTTTAGTAACACTCTTTTGTTTCTGATCAAGTTCTTCACACAAACAAGCTTGATTTCCAGGGCTTGTGCAGAGCTTAGATTCACACAATTCAATCATCTTCTTTAACAGCTGCTGCAACAGTGCCAAGGAATCTTTTCAAAAACACTCACTTTTACCTTTTTGGTTGGTAAGATTAATAAATGAGAGGACTGCCACCAAAGCAGTTCTGACTTGGATTTTGGGCAGATTGCTTAAACAAGAGACATCTCTTCCTTTGGAACATGAAGCATAAAGATTGTATGTGTGACTCCATTTCCTCTCTTCCCAAATCAATATTACTTTAGCAGCTTACAAGCAAATTAACTTGGAAAAAACTCATTTTACAGTATCTACAAATTATTTACTAGGCATCTTTATATACTTAGGTTCCAATTGGTATAATTATTTTAAAACACTTCAAACACTTCGTTTCATAGTTAACATTGAAAACTTTTTTAAAAAGTTGATGTTTAGAAGAAGTCTTAGTAAAAATCTAATCTAATTGACTCATTTTTACCAGTGAGTAAATTGAGGCCCAGAAAAGTTGAATGATTGCCCAAGAAATGGGAGAAAGAAAAGAGTTTAATTATATAAACAAAAATATTTAATATATTAGTAATATTCTTATAAATATTAATAATTTTAGTCATCTATACAAGACAAAATACTTACAATTTTGGTAATCTTGTTAAAATTTCACATTGATAATCTGCAAAGTGAAATTGTGAAATGCTTTTTATGTCTCTTAAGTACATTTTAACATTGATCTCTCAATTTTTCACTTGCATTAAAAGATGTGACCCTGTAGCAATCAAATAAAGCTACTTCTACATTTTCTTAGGGACCTCTTAATCATATTGGTTTATATTTTAGTACACTGTCATTCTAGTTTTAGAAATAAAACCTTAGAAAATTCTGAGAAAGTGGAAGAATAGTTTTTATTCTATCTTGTATTTTAAATATTTCACTGACAAAATTGTGTATATTCAAGGTGAACAGTGTGATGATTTGGTATGAGAATACATTGTGTACTGATTACTACAGTCAAATTAATTAACACATCCACCATCACCCTTCTTTTGTGTGTATGTGTGTGGTGAGGATGCTTAAAATGGCCAGAATAAACACAGAATACTTAGAAAATTTTTAAAAACCTCCATGGCTAAAATCTTTGACACAATTTCTTGAAGGACACAAACTATCAAAAACCACTCAAGATTAAATAGATAATTTGAACAGCCTATGTCTACCAAGGAAACTGAACACAGAGTTTAAAACATTCCCATGAAGAAAACTAGAAACACACATGGTTTCAGGAGTGAATCCTACCAAACTAAAAAGAGAATCTATAATTTTTTTAAAAATAAAACATATGTCCAGGTGGGATTTATCCCAAGAATGCAAGAATGTATTGGCACTTGGAAATCAATCAATGTAATTCGTTATATTAACAAACTAACAAAAAAGAAAGCCCATTATAGCAGTCTCAATAGGCAAAGAAAACACATCTGACAAAAATCCAACATCCACTGCTGATTTTTTTTAAATTCTCAACAAACTGAAAACAGAAATGAGCTTCTTCAGCCTCATAAAGCATGTCTACAAAAATCCTGGAGTTAACAGCATACTTAATGGTGAAAGACCAAATATTTCCCCTAAGATCAGGAACAAGACAACAATATCTGCTCTTCCTTCTTCTATTCGGCACTATTTTGGAGATTCTAGCCAGTAAAATAAGAAGAAAAATAAAGAGCATACAGATAGTGAGGAAGAAATAAAACTGTCTTTACTTATAGATGACATTGTCATCTATGTCTAAAACCTATTGCAATCTATTAAAAAGCTGCTAGAACTAATAGGTAAGTTTAACCACATTTTTATATATTGATCTTGACCAGAAATGTGATCCATAAAAACCAAGTTGATAAATTGGAACACAAAAATTAGAAACTTCTATTTGGAACACAAAAATTAAAAACTTCTATTTGGAACACAAAAATTAAAAACTTCTATTGCCACCATTTTTAAAATGGGCAAAGGGCCTAGTGTGGTGGCTTATACCTATAATCCCAGCACTTTGGGAGGCCAATATGGGTGGATCACTTGAGACCAGGAGTTTGAGACCAGCTTGGGCCATATAGTGGAACCCCAGCTCTACAAAAAATACAAAAATTAGCTGGGCATGGTGGCATGAACCTGTGGTTCTAGCTACTCAGGAGGCTAAGATGGGAAGATCACTTGAGCCCAGGAGGTTTGCGCAGCAGTGAGCCGAGCTTGTGCCTCTGTACTCTCGCCTGGGTGACAAGGCAAGACTCTGTCTCAAAAAAAAAAAAAAAAATGCAAAAGATTTACCAAAGAAGATATACAGATTACAAATAAACATATGAAAAGATGCTCAACATCATTAGTCATTAGGAAAATGCAGATTAAAACTATAATGAGATGTTAATGTACACCTATTGGAATGGCTAAAATTTAAAAGACCGAACATACCAATTCTTGGCAAGAATGTGGAGGATTTGAGATAAAGTTTACATATACACAAACTTTAGATATATATTTATTATATATTTACATATCAAAGAAAATTTTACATAAATGTAATAGGAGTTCATGAAGAAGAAAAAGAAAGCCATACAATGTAAAAAAGAAATGTTAAAAAGTACAATTCAAGAAAACTTTTATAAAAAAGACTACATATTGAGAAGGCATAGTATGTATCTGGGAAAGTAGACCCAGAACAGCTAACATCAAGACATATTTTACTAAACCTATTGGACAATAAGAAAAAAAAATATTTTAGGCATCCAGGCAAAAAGAGCAAGTCATTTCTAATTGAAATAACATTAGCTCATCCTCAAACTTTTTGATAACAACAGTTTATGCTGAAAGATAATGGAGTAACATATTTAAGACACCCAAAGAAAGAAAATATGAGCTGAATATTTCATATCCAACAAAATTAAACTTCAAGTATAAACATACAAACTGTTAATACTTCAACTCAACAAAAACAACCCAATTTAAAAATGAGTACTTGGATAGTCATTTCTCAATAAATAAATAAATAAATGTGTGTGTGTGTGTGTGTGTGTGTGTGTGTACACCTATTGTAATGGCTACACACACACACACACACACAAATGGCCAAGAAGCACATGAAAAGATACTCAATATCATTAACCATTATGAAAATGCAAATCAAAACTACAGTGAGATACCAGCACCTACCCATTAGGATGACTGTTATCAAAACAAACCAAAAGACAACAAGAGTTGGCAAGGATGCAGATAAATTAGAACCTCTGTGCATTGTAGGTGAGAATGTAAAATTGTGCAGCCACTGTGGGAAACAGTAGAGCAGTTCCTCAAAAAAATAAACGTAGAATTACTATATGATCTCGCAATTTCTCTTCTGGGTATATACCCAAAAGGAGTGTAAGCAAAGGACTAAACAAATATTTCTCTGGCCATGTTCATAGCTGCAATATTCACAGCAGCTCAACGTCAGAACCATCTGAAATTCCTGCTGATGGATGAATGGATAAGCAAACTCTGCTGTATACACACTGGAATATTGTTCAGTCTTCAAAAGGAAGGCTTTCTGGTATATGCAACAACATGAATGAACCCTGAGACATTATGAAAAATGAAGTCAGCTAGACTCAAAAGGACAATTTTTTTCTTTTTTACTCAGAGTCTTGCTCTGTTGCCTAGGCTAAAGTGCAGTGGCGCAATCTCAGCTTACTGCAACCTCTACCTCTCGGGTTCAAGTGATTCTCATGCCTCAGCCTCCCGAGAAGCTGGGATCACAGGTGTATACCACAAAACCTGGCTACTTTTTTGTATTTTTTGTAGAGATGGGGATTCACCATGTTGGCTAGGCTTGTCTCAAACTCTTGACCTCAAGTGAGCCACCCACCTCAGCCTCCCAAAGTGCTGCCATTAGAGACGTGAGCTACCGCACCCAGTGTAGGACAAATGTTTTATTACTCCACATGTCTGAGGCACCTAGAGTAGTCAAATTCATGCAGCCAGACAATAGAATGGTGGTTGCCAGGGACTGAGGAAAGAGAGGAGTAGGGTGTTAGTGTTTAATGGGTGCAGCATTCAGTTAAAGAAGATGAAAAAGTTCTAGAGAGGGAATTGGAAAAGTTCTAGTGATGGTTGCACAACAATGCGAATGTACCTAATGCCACTGAACAACATACTTAATATTGATTAATGATCTAGGTATGGTGGTATGGTGGTGTGCACCTGTAATCCTAGCTATTTGGGAGGCTGAGGCGGGAGGACCGCCTGAGCTCAGGAGTTTGAGACTAGCCTGGGCAACATAGTGGATCTCATCTCAAAAAACAAAAACAAAAAAACAAAGAGATTAAGATGTTAACTTTTATTTTATGTATATTTTGCCACAATAAAAAACTTTTAAGAGAATGCAGGAACCTAATTACAGAATATTTTTTCCATAAGATTTTTCTTAGGAATCCAATAGAGAATGAACTGCAGGCCACCAAATTAACTGGAGAAACATGATACAAAGAGCTGTGGCCCTGACCAGGTATGGTGGCTCACACGTGTAATCCCAGTACTTTATGAGGCCAAAACAGGGAATCACCTGTGCCCTGCCAGAAGTCCAAGACCAGCCTGGACAGCATGGCGAGACTGTGTCTCCATATAAACTTTTTAACAAGTTTAAAAAAGAAAAAACTGTTGCCCTTCATGCTTAAAGACCAAAAAAGTCATGATCGATTTAATATCAGTTTTGACTTTTTATCCTTTCTCATAAGAGGAATCAAGTCTCCTGGGCAGGGTAGAAAATATACACTATGAGACCAGACAAGATGTTGTCATATCAGCAAGCGAGAAAGCTATTAGAAGCCAGGCTTGGCGGGGGGAGGGGGGGGTCTGGTGGCTCATGCATGTAATCCTAGCACTTTGAGAGGCCAAGGAGGACAGATTATTTAAGGTCCGGAGTTCAAGACCAGTCAGGCCAACATGATGAAACCCTATCTCCACTAAAAATACAAAAGTTGGCCAGACACAGTGGCTCACGCCTGTAATCCCAGCACTTTGGGGGACCAAGGTTGGGAGTTTGAGACCAGCCTGACCAACATGGAGAAACCCCATCTCTGCTAAAAATACAAAATTAGCTGGGTGAGGTGGCTTATGACTGTAATCCTAGCTACTCGGGAGGCTGAGGCAGGTGAATCGCTTGAACTTGGGAGACTGAGGTTGCGGTGAGCCTAGACCGCACCATTGCACTCCAGCCTGGGCAACAAGAGCGAAACTCCATCTCAAAAAAATATAAACAGAGGGAGACCGATCCAAGATGGCCAATCACTAACATCCCAGGACTGCAGCTCTCAGTGAAGGCACGGAGAACTAGACGACGCCACACTTTCAGACAAATTCTGGTCGCTCATGGAGCAGAAGATCCCCAGTGGAGGAATCACACGGGTTGCCAGCGCGACTTTTCGTGGCGAGGCAGCTCTCGGAGCAGAGTAAACAGGTTCGGAGGACCCACAAGGGCCCCCAGCACAACACCAGAGCCCAGCGCAGCGGCTGTGACTGCACCTCGGTGCGGCAGCACTCAGCGCAGAGGCGCAGAGTAAACGGAACCGGCTCCCATTCTGACCGAGGTTTGGAGCCCCGGGAAGGCAGAGTCACCCACTACGGACACAAGAAGGAAGCCAGACAAGAGAATCC